CGAGTCCTTCGGGAGATGCTAGCGGGGTACAAATAAAGTTAATAATAATAATAATAATAATAATAATAATAATAATAATAATGTTGAGAACTATGCTTAGAATATTTTATTAGTAGTCCTCATCTCCATTCTAACTTAAATGAGAAATGAGAAGATTACAAAATCCAAGATGCAATAGAAGAAAATAAAAAATCAATCTCATGAAAATTTCAATGATGAAAGTGTTTGAACTGGCTGAAATGGACATTTTTTCTAATTTAAAAGAGAAAAATTATTGGGAATTTTTAATAAAAGATTAGGAGCCACTCACTTTTTTTAATGAGAAAGAGGATTAGTAGTTTAGACTGCATTTTTTTTGTCATGTCAGGAGAGACTTGAGAATCTGCAAGTCACTTCTGGTGTGAGAGAATTGGCTGTCTGCAAGGACATTGCCCAGGGGATGCCTGGATGATTTGATGTTTTATCATCCTTGTGGGAGGCTTCTCTCATGTCCCCGCATGAGGAGCTGGAGCTGATAGAGGGAGCTCATCCGCCTCTCCCCAGATTCGAACATGCGACCTGTCGGTCGTCAGTCCTGCCGGCACAGGGGTTTAACCCACTGCACCACCGGGGGCTCCTCTTTAAACTGCATAGAAGAAGAAGTATGAAGTATTATGAATATAGGGGGAGTAAAAATTATAATCATATATACTATTTTAGGAAAATTGGAAGTCAAGTTTTAAGTACCCCCCCCCCCCTCGGTTTGTGCACCCCAGGTAAAAGCAAATTAATGTAGAGAAAACTGGGTTTTCCCAGTGTGCTCCATATTAATTAAACACCTGGAAATATCCAGTGTGGTCCCTGTGGGGATTGAAGCAGTCCCAAGGGTCAATCCCCAGAGCCATTCTAGTTCTTCAGACTCCTGGAGCCCGAAGGAACAGGAGGACACCCAACCATCCCCTGCCCCCCATTTTCCCCAAAAAATACTTATTGTGGCGGGATTGTGGCGCAGCTGGCTGAGTGTCAGCTGCATTAAGATCACTCTGACCAAAAGGTCATGAGTTCGAAGCCAGCCCGGGCTGGAGTGGGTGTCCAGCCATTGTGTAGCCCGTTGTCGACCTTTGCAACCCGAAAGATAGTTGCATCTGTCAAGTAGGAAAATAAGGTACCACCTTGTGTGGGAGGCTAAATTTAACTAATTTATGAGGCCATAAAGAAAGAAGACTCCGGGGAATGTGGAATGCGGAAGAACTTCATCGGTGTCGTTGATGGACGATGAAAAGCAGCAGCTCCCCTGGCGGCCAGAAAAAAAGTTAAATAGCCTTTGTCTGTTAAATGTTGTTTGTCAAACTGGCATTGAATGTTTGCCATATATGTGTTTACTGTAATCCGCCCTGAGTCCCCTGCGGGGTGAGAAGGGCGGAATATAAGAACTGTAAATAAATAAATAAATAAATAAATAAATAAATAAACCTGCCAGCAGGCCCCTCTGGTAAGGTTCTTTGGGGGGAATGTTGGGCTAGAGATTGGCATCTAGCCACCTGCTGAGAGAAAGCCTGGGGTTGTGGAAAGGGGTGGAGACTGAAATCTGGCAGGAAGCAGATTATTTTAACCCGCTTCCTCCAAGTTTTAGGTAAGTGTAGAAGGAACCTCACATACAACTCCTAGTTAGAACTGGGTTAGGACCTTTCCATATGCTATCCAAAACTAAAGATATGTACATTAGGGCTGTCGTAAGGGGGTCGAAAGTTGTAAGAGCTTCATTAGATCTGTACTTATGACTGGATTAATGAAAACTGTACATTGTACCGAATGAAACGAATGAAAATGTCCAGTATGCAGTTGTCGTAAGAACATCATAACTGTTGTATGTCCCTGTGAGTCTGCTTCTACTTTGAGCACAAGCAAACTGTACTGGGAAATGCAGACAAACATGTTAGGTCACATGCTATCAGGACTGAGGAAAAGGGAGGAGTTGCTCCTGGTGTTCCCAATACAGCAGCCATGAGGGCGACTAGCACCTGAATGTGTCTGTCAAAGAAGGCTTTTCTTGCAAGCGATTCCTTTTAGGAGTGCCTCAGCCAGGCTATTAAATTTATTTTCTTCGTGTGTGTGTGTGGTCCATCTAGGATCCATTTTCTTTTTTATGGTTTTATTATTTCATATTATTCTTGTTGTTTTCATTTGTAAAACATTAAAAATGTCCTAAAATCAGCGGATGAGTGGATCTTTCTGAAAGATGCCAGGAATGATGCCCTGCTCCTCTTCTGTCATTGAGGAGAAATTCCGGGGGGGGGGGGGGACCTCTTTTATATTTCTTTGTTTTTTTTTTAAAAAATGGGTGAAACTTTAAACAATTCCCTAAAAATCAGTGGATGTATGAATCTTTCTGAAACTTGGAGGGAATGATGCCCTTGTTATGTTGTGTTGTTGTAAAGCAATTAAAGGATCTAGCTATGGTAATTTTGTTTGAACAAATGTTGTTTGTAGAAAATTCAAAAAGCTTCCTAAAAATCAGTGGATGAGCGAAATGTTCTGAAACTTTGTGGGGGGGGAGGTTACAGTGGTCAATGTGTGCTATAACTGTTGCAATTTTCATCACGATAGCCCTAAAACCGAGGGAGGGAGGAACTCTGTTAGTGTCTCCATTGGTGCATATGGGCAAATAATATAATGTTTTCGGATCTCCATAATAGATCCAACACAGATCTCTTATGATTTTTTCAGAACTTTGGAACCAAAACAGGGCTCGCACAAATTTTGTTAAGACAAGTGAAGCAGTTTTTAAAGATGTGTGCACCCCTAATATGTGTGAGTGTACATATACATGTGTGCGTTTGCATGTGTGTGAGTGTGTATGTATGACTGGAGTTACACTTGAAAATATGCCTGTTTCAACTTACATACAACTTAAGAACAAACTCATAGAATCTATCTTGTTTGTGACCCAGGGACTCTTCCAAACAATGGGGTGGTGGAGTGAATTAATGATGCCCGCCAATTGAATTTCAAACCTGCAGAGGATTTAGCTCAGAACAAGGACAATATAATTCTCTATGATACTCTGCCCACAGCTTCTATTCATTCTTAAGTATAGAGTATAATGGCAAAGATATTCTCTTTGCATCATTTCTACATGTCTGCAGTGACTAAGGCCCCTACCGAGATTCTTGAAAGTGTTCAGTAATATCTACCTGTATGATATTTTTATCACAGCCCTTTAAATAACCTGTCTTTTTTATCCTTTAGCCTTGGTTCATTAACTTTTCACCCAGGGAATGCAGTAAACAGAGAAAAATCAATTTTGACTCAGTCCAGCACTCTAAACTTTCTAGAGTTCTTGTTCAACACTGAAGCCATGACCCCTTGAGAGTCCTCTTTCATGGAGAATATATATTAACTTTGTCAGTAAGTCTGATTAAATCTCTCTCTCCTTCTCACATTTCTCCAAGGCTCTTTTTAGCCCCTATTTATGCTAGCTGCTATTGAAATAAGATATAACAGAACCACACCAAGTTTACCCTAAGGAAGTAACTGCAGACATTCCTTGGTTGATGGCAACTTTATTTTCTTTCTGAAATAATTGTCATTCATGTCTCTCATCTTTTCCTTCATCTGCTTGAGACTTCCAAATAGGCAGGTGGGAAAGCCAGTGAAAATCTCTTTCGAGCTTTAATGTAGTCTTTTCTACAGCAATAGCAAAACTATGTTATCTGTTATTCTCTGTTTCTGAGCATTCCATAGTGGCAAGTTTTGTGCATTCATTAGTTATGCCAGGATAGTATATACTTGACCCTGACATCAAACAAAAATTTCTAAAATATTGAAGCCAAAGGAATTCCCAGGACTTAGTGATCATGTAGTGACCGTGTAGACCAGGGGGAGGGCCAGATGTAGTGAGGTGAAAATATGTGAGGGCCTGTTAGGGATTCCTCATCTTTGGAAGAGGAAAGGGAGCAGTAAAGTGTTCAGGAATTGGAGGGAGAAGAAGAATCATACAATGAGGTTGTACAAGTGCCCACATTTCTAGAGAGACGAAAAGTGACAGAGCACAGGCGGCGTTCAGCTAGAATAGCTGCTAAAAACGCTGAGCTAATTGGGAGATGCCTTAGCACCTCCTGCGTGGGGAATTCAGGGCCATAAATCAGGAGCAGGAGTAGTCAGCTTTCGCTAGTAACAACAATTCTAATGCCAATGTTTTCACTCCAATCGAACCTGTTTGTGCCTGCTGCTAAGGACTTAGTGATCATTGCCCATTGTCTGATGGAAGACTGGTGTTTCTTTTGGGACTTTGTAAGAGACTTTAATTTGTGTCTGGATTCAGACTCCCTTGCTTTCATTTTTCAGCCGCATCTGCTTATCCTTTGTGTTTGCTGAAGTCAAGCATTTTTCTTTTACTATCAACATTTTCTAAAAGCCGTTTTTGATGAGCAACTCAGGACAGGGCCAAACATTCAGCCTGACATTCTTTGAACCATTTACGTTAATTGCAAATGAACTATTTTATTATATTTGATTGTCGATTGAAAAACACAACAACAAATGATACAAGGACTGAAAAAGATTCAGTGCATATTCAAAACTGGTGTTTCAATCATCACAAAAAAGAGCACGGAGTGCGTGTGTGTTCGTATGTGTGAAGTGGGGTGTGTGCCACATATGGATGTGTACCGGGCTGTGGCCAATGGAATTGAACAGGGCCACAATAGCCCCAAAGGACCTTTGGACAGGCCGGGTTTGGTGCGTGCGCAGCTAGTGATGTCGTCCCATTCACAGCCTCGGCCCTCCCAGCAGGCGGCCGTAGCTGGCGAGTCCCCGCGGCCTGAGGGGCAGGGCTGGTGGCATCCCGGGCCCACCTCGGCCTCAGCGCAGAAGGGAAGAGGTGAAGCCAGCTATGGCCCTGAGGGCGGAGAGGAGAAGAGTGGGGATTACGGTGAGTGCTTGTGAAGCGAAGAGAGCGGCCATGAGAAGGGACTGTGGGTTGGAGGAGCAGATAGGTGGACGGCCAGACCTCAACACGAATGGTGGTGTGTGTGATCTGCATCGGCCCGGTGTCGCTTCCGGCCGGAAGCGAGTGCGCCGGTGCGGGCCCAGGTAAAAAGCCCTACAGCCGCAAGGCCGATCACCAGCACGGCAGAGAGGTCTGGCAACAGCTGTCGGGCGTGCTGCTTGCTCCCCGTGGTGTGTTGGGGAGTCATCTTCGCAAACGCTGTCTCTTGATGGGGAAAGCCGCCGGGGGTGGGCGCGCAGTGCGTGTGGGAGATAAGGGAGCAGGGGCCAAACCCACATACGGCCAGATGGGTGCCCCGAGGAAGCCAATAGCCGCAGGCCGGCCTTCCCATGGCTACGGGACCAGAAAGGAGGGGACAGACGAGCGGCGGGCGCATCGAATGGAATTTTGTCCGCCTGAATTTGGGAAGCTCCCGAAAAACGGATTTCGGGAAGCTCACCAAAAACAGCATGCGGTTTAGCTAAATTGCACACGCCTTTGACACCGTTTTAACCACCATGACTCAAGGCAGAATGACAACCCTTATGACTGGTACATCCTTGTGTCTTCCCAGCCACCAAAGTACGATACGGTTATCGTCGGAGCCGTCCGCTTGGTGTCGGTGCTGGTTGCGGCCTTTTCGGTGGACAAAGTTGGGAGGAGGCTTCTTCTCTGCATCTCAGGTTGAGCTTCCATCATCACCTTCATTCACCTTATTCCATTCATGCATCCATGTGTCCACTTGCAGGATCAAACTAGGCTTTGGATAATCTCCTAGGGACTCTACGTGCCTTTAGATTGCCTACAAACTTATGGTGGCCCCATGGGCAAGGAAGACTCAGAGGTGGTTTGGCTAATTCCTTCCTCTGAAATAGAGTGTATTCATTAGTGATCCCTATTCCAGTCTTAACCAGGTCTGATCTTGCTTAGTTTCCACAATCAGATGGGATCTGGTTCTTTGGTGTCACCTGTTGACTTATGATGACCCCATGAACTTGGGCAAGAGATGGTTTGGTAGATCCCTTCTTCTGAAATAGAGCCTACAGAACCTTGGATTCCTTATTGATCTCCCATTTCAGTCTTAACCAGGTCTGATATTGTTTAGTTTCCACAATCAGATGGGATCTAGTGCTTTGGTGTAACCTGTTGACTTATGATGACCCCATGAACTTGGGCAAGAGATGGTTTGGTGGCTCCCTTCTTCTGAAATAGAGCCTACAGAACCTCAGATTCCTTATTGATCTCCCATTCCAGTCTTAACCAGGTCTGATACTGCTTAGTTTCCACAGTCAGATGGGATCTGGTGCTTTGAGGTCACCTGTTGACTTATGATGACCCCATGAACTTGGGCAAGAGATGGTTTGGTGGGTCCCTTCTTCTGAAATAGAGCCTACAGAACCTCGGATTCCTTATTGATCTCCCATTCCAGTCTTAACCAGGTCTGATCTTGCTTAGTTTCCACAATCAGATGGGATCTGGCGTCTTGTTGACGTATGGCAAGGTGGGGAGTCGGCAAAAAGAATGCATGAAATAAATCATGCCTTTCTTCTTACTAGCTATCCTGATGTTCTTCGCCAACCTGACTTTGGGCTTGTACATCCACTTTGTACCACTGCACTCCAACAATTCCTCCACTGTGATGGTCAACGGCAGCCATGAAGGTCTCTCCAGCCATCTGACAAATGGGATCACCGTTATTCCTTTAATCGCCACGATGTTCTTCATCATCGGTATGGGATGACGTATTCTGGAGGTCTACCGTGATCCATTGACTTGGACGGTGTCTTTCTGTCTGGCAGAAGGGGGTTGGACTGGATGGCCCTTGGGATCTCCTCCAACTCTTGGGCTCTTCAAGACCCTTCTTCCCTTTTCTCCAGGCTACGCCATGGGCTGGGGTCCCATCACTTGGCTGTTGATGGCTGAAGTTCTCCCACTGAAGACCCGAGGTGTTGTTTCCGGACTTTGTGTCCTTGCGAGTTGGTTGACTGCTTTTGCTATGACCAAAGCATTTCTGCTGGTAAGTCGAGCAATAATAGCATTATTATTATTATTATTATTATTATTATTATTATTATTATTATATTAATATAGTATTATTACTAAGTGAAAGGTAATGCTTTCTTCTGACATTAAGTCTAGTTAGGTCCGACTCTGGGGAGTGGTGCTCATCTCCATTTCTAAGCCAAAGAGCCAGCGTTGTCCGTAGACACCTCCAAGGTCATGTGGACAGCATGACTGCATGTAGTGCTGTTACCTTCCCACAGAAGCGGTATCTATTGATCTACTCACATTTGCATGTTTTTGAACTGCTAGGTTGACAGAAGCTAGGGCTAACAGCAGGAGCTCATCCTGCTCCCCGGATTCGAACCACCAATGTTTCAGTCAGCAAGTTCAGCAGCTTAGCAGTTTAATCCACTGTACAACCAGGGGGCCCATTATTATTATTAATATATTATTTCTATTATTAATATCATGTTATTAATAATATAACAACAATAATAATATATAACGACAACAACTAAAACTACAACGATAATGGTAATAATAATAAAGGGGGTAACAACACCAACAAATCAGAGTGGCAACCATTTACAAAGACATTGTTAAACTGCCACAAGATCAATAATAATAATAATAATAATAATAATAATAATAATAATAATAATAATAATGGCAAAATACTCATCATCATAGAGGCTATGAATTTTCCCCTCGTATGTTTACAGATCTTTGCAAATCCTATATATATATAGATATCTAGATATTTCCATGTACCTGTATATCTGTATCTATATGTATACATTATTTTTATACATGAATTTTCCCCTCATGTTTGCAAGTCTCTGCAAATCCTATAGAGATATAGATATTGATAAATATATAGAGGTACCTATATATCTGTATATCTGTGTGTGTATATATATAATTTTATATATGAATTTTCCCCTTACATATTTGCAAGTCTTTTCTATTATCTATATATAGAGAGATTATATATATATATATATATATAGGGCTTGCAAATATTGTTGTTTTTTATTCGTTCAGTTGCTTCCGACTCTTCATGACGCACAACTCTATCTAGACATGTCTAGATAGATATGAATATAGATATATAGGGTTTGCAAATATTACAGGGGGAAATGCACACAAAAATATATCTAGACATGTCTAGATATATATGAATATAGATATATAGGGCTTGCAATTATTGCAGGGGACATGCATAGACACCACACACATATATAGAGAGAAATGTTTAGATGGATCTAAACATAAATGTATAGGGCTTGCAAATATTACAGGGGGGAAATGCACACACACACATATAGACATGTCTAGATAGATATGAATATAGATATATAGGGCTTGCAAATATTGCAGGGGAAATGCATAGACACCCACACACATATAGAGAGAGAAATGTTTAGATGGATCTAAACATAAATGTATAGGGCTTGCAAATATTACAGGGGGAAATGCACACAAAATTATATCTAGACATGTCTAGTTAGATATGAATATAGATATATAGGGCTTGTAAATATTGCAGGGGAAATGCATAGACACCACACACATATAGAGAGAAATGTTTAGATGGATCTAAACATAGATGTATAGGGCTTCCAAATATTGCTGGGGAAATGCACACACAAATATATCTAGACATATCTAGATAGATATGAATATAGATATATAGGGCTTGTAAATATTGCAGAGGAAATGCACCCACAAATATATCTAGACATATCTAGATAGATATGAATATAGATATATAGGGCTTGTAAATATTGCAGAGGAAATGCACACACAAATATATCTAGACATATCTAGATAGATATGAATATAGATATATAGGGCTTGTAAATATTGCAGGGGAAATGCACACACAAATATATATATATAGACATGCCTGGATAGATATGACTATAGATATATAGGGCTTGCAAATATTGCAGGGGAAATGCACACATAAATATATAGACATGTCTAGATAGATATGAATATAGATATATAGCGCTTGCAAATATTGTAGGGGAAATGCATACACACATAAAGAGAGATGTTTAGATGGATATAAACATAGATATATAGGGCTTGCAAATATTGCATATATATAGAGAGAGGATTTGCAAGCGTTTCAGGAGGAAATGCATATGTGAAATTAGTATCTATATGGCAGTAATGCTAACAATATTTTCTCCGGTCAACCAGGTGAAGTATGGCCTGGAAACGCCTTTCTTCTTCTTCAGCGTCATCTGTGTGGTGAACCTGATCTTTACGTATCTGATCCCCGAAACCAGAGGACGGTCCTTGGAGCGCATCGAATCCTATTTCCGCACCGGACGGAAATCCTTCCTGGAATCTTTCAGAGGACGAAGGTGAATTTCCAAAGACAATGCACGACACTTTGTGGCACCAAACTGCATTAATTCTACAATGTAGAAGCACCCAGGGTCTTTTAAGGGGCGGAGGGCTGGACTATGTGGCCTTTGGGGGTCCCAAATAAAGCCGTATTCTCTGCCACCTGCAAGAACTCAACTCCATAAAAACTCTTTCTTTTTATTGCACATCAGATCTTTGTAGGAATATGGGACACAATATATACACAGAGATGAGGTCGTAAAAGAGCCTTGGAAACCGCACACTTAAACCCCGGAGGTAGAATGGTCTTTTTTATTCACTGCATACACAAAAGAGCCGCAGCTGCAAAGGACAGTGGCAAAGAGCCTATGCTAGCAATGAATAACTACAAAGCCCAACATCCCCAGTAGGATGGAAAATATCTTCTCAAGGCTGCTTGTGTAGGACATGCAGCTCCTATGATCCTTGAGTCACAAGAGTTAAAGTGGTATCGTGCTGCATTAATTCTATAGTGTAGAATGAGATCGGGCATCATTCTTGTCCCTATTTATACATTCAAAGAGGACAAGAGAAGGATCTATCAATCCATCCATCCATCCATCCATCCCTCTATCCATCCCTTGATCTATCTATCTATCTATCTATCTATCTATCTATCTATCTATCTATCTATCTATCTATCTCTATCTATCTATCATCTATCTATCTACCCACCCACCCATCCATCCATCCATCCATCCATCCCTTGATCTATCTATCTATCTATCTATCTATCTATCTATCTATCTATCTATCTATCCAACATCCCTCTACCCATCCCTCTGTATCTATCCCTTGATCTAACCCTCTCTCTCTCTCCATCCATCCATCCATCCCTCTACCCATCCCTCTGTATCTATCCCTTGATCTAACCCTCTCTCTCTCTCCCTCTCTCTCCATCCATCCATCCCTCTATCCATCCCTTGATCTAACAATCTATCTATCTATCCATCCATCCATCCCTCTGTATCTATCCCTTGATCTAACCCTCCATCTCTCTCTCTCATTCTCTCTCTCTCCATCCACCCATCCACCCATCCACCCATCCCTCTATCCATCCCTTGATCTAACAATCCATCCATCCAACCATCCCTCTATCCATCCCTCTGTATCTATCCCTTGATCTAACCCTCCATCTCTCTCTCATTCTCTCTCTCCATCCATCCATCCCTCTATCCATCCCTTGATCTAACCATCTATCCATCCATCCATCCCTCTATCCATCCCTTGATCTAACAATCCATCCATCCATCCAACCAACCATCCCTCTATCTATCCCTCTGTATCCATCCCTTGATCTAACCCTCCATCTTTTTCTCTCTCTCTCCCCATCCATCCATCCGTCCCTCTGTAGCTATCCCTTGATCTAACCCTCCATCTCTATCTCTCTCCACCCACCCATCCCTGTGTATCTATCCCTTGATTGAACCCTCCAACTGTCCATCCATCCATCCTTCTGTATCCATCTCTCTCTCTCCATACATCCCTCTGTATCAATCCCTCGATCTAACCCATCTAACTATCCATCTATCCCTTTGTCTAACCCTATGTATCCATCCCTCAATGTAGCTCTCCATCTCTCTCTCTCTCCATCCATCCATCCCTCTGTATCCATCCCTCGATCTAATCGTCCGTCCGTCCATCAATCCATCCATCCATCTATCCATCTATCTATCCAACCATCCATTCTTTTATTTATCCCTCTGCATCCATCCCTCGATCTAACTCACTATCTATCTACAGTATCTATCTATCAATTCACCTGTCCAATGCATTTCAACCCATCCATCCCTCTATTTAGCTATCCATCTATCTCACAGTAATGTAAAAGGATCCTATGTCCTTCATAGTCCCGATCCATCCTGAGATCGAAGAAGAAGCCCTATTTGAAACCCTGCTGTCATAAAGCCACAGCATAGAAGAGTCACAGAGAAGTGGGACATGTTTCCCAACCTCCTCTTTCGATTCGTACACACTGTGTCCAGTTCAAGTATTCAACGTATAGGTATAGAGTGAAACCTGGCTGGAAAACACTCTGTAGGAAAGGGATCTCAGAGTCTTTGTAGACATGGGCCAGGAGGTTGAAAAGGCCAATGCCATTCCAGGCGGCATCAAGAGGAGGTCCAAGGAAAGATGTGTTTTCCATCTGCACTCCCCAAGTTTGGAATCGGTGTTTGGAGAGTCTTAGGGTCCCGATGTCGAGAAGAGGAGCGAAAGGAGAGTTATAGTTTTCCATAGGGACTCACACGGCTTCGGGTTCAACAGCGTTCCCATCTGCTTCGGTTGGCTTCCGCTGAAACTGCTGCATCCGGGCGTAAGCAATGGCGTCTCCCCTAAAAAAGGCAAATGACAGTGTTGAGTGTGACTCCAAATTATAAATTTTGAGTGTGACTCCAAATGGTAAACAGTAAATAAATAAATTTTGAGTTGCATGGCTTTCTAAATGTTGTACATAAAATAGTGGTGGTGATGGTGGTGGTGGTGATGATAGGGTTGCTTTGGCTTACTTTTTGCCTAGTGCTGAAAGCCCGTAAAGCACTCCGGTGGCGAAGGCGATGGCGTTGCCGATCAACGTCGTCAGAGTCAAGCTCAGGATAATGGGGAAGAGTGCCATCCTAAACGACAGAAAGAAAAGCTCACATACATCAGGAGAAAAAAGACTTTGTGTTGCCGCTCTAAGCCTTTCCCAGGTCCTCCATAATAACACGGTACACTTACCCACAATAAAAGGCTGCTTTTTGCCACGGACGGAGACGATCTGCTCTGGCTGAGATGACGTTTGCAAATTCAACAAACTGGCAGCAAAACGGAGCCTCACACAGGATGAGGACGAAGGCGTTCAACCTGGACGGTGAGAAGCACAACTCAACAAACAGGAGAAGACCCACTCTATCTTTCCGGGAGAGCCACCCACCAAGCTACGAGAGGCGTTCCTTAAAGATTTCCCCTGACCCACTTCTATTTATCACAGGATGCTGAACATGCACATATGTAATGATATAAGTCTCCATAGGTTACGTGCCAATGTACAACTCTGAACTGAGAACGGACTTGATGTGACAGGTGCTGAAGTGGTGTGAGGTTTGAGAATAAACCCAGAAGAATACAGAGCAGTCCTCAAGTTCCTTCCTTTGCAAGGCCACACACCAAAGGAGACGTTCGATGAGATGAAAGAGGTTGATGGAGAGGATTCCTCATCATATGATGTAGTCAAGAATGGGCATCATCCATTCCAATGTGGTCAGACTTTGGTGGAAACAGCTCCAATTCCAGGGTGACTCCACTCTGCTATTGAGGAACACACCATCCAGCAAGTAGAGCTGGTGAACTGTGTGTGCTCCGCGCAGACAAGCTTTATATTAGGTTCCACGCAGACAAAGTCATTCTGCGTACAGATATTTCTTTTTTGCCAAAAGTGCCTACGCTTTTTCATATGTCTCAAGACACCATTTTGCCCGCTTTTTTTCCTAACCCTTCTACGGATCTGGAACGATCCCTTCACCTCCTTGATGTTAGGAGGGCTCTTGCTTTCTATTTGCATAGGATAGAACTCATTCGGAAATCTCAGAGACTTTTTCTTCAGTACCGGGCAGACACTGCAGGCCTTCCTGTTTCGTCCCAGTGCTTTTTGGCCTGGATCAAGTCTACTTGGCGTATCAGATGGCCGGGAAAGATCCTCCAGCCACAATGAAAGGCCACTCCACAAGGGCCATGGCCTCGACAATGGTGGATCTCAGTGGTGTACCATAGGCCTGGGTAACAACGGAAAAATTTGTTTCTAAAATCGATTCGTTTTTTGGGGTTTTTTGCATTTCGATATTTAAAAGAATTCCGAAATTTTTCTTTTAAAAAGTTCGATATTTACGAAATTTCGTAAATGTTAAAAAAATTGCGAAACATTAACGAAACAAATACGATTCGTTAATGGTGTACGCGATTGCGCAATATGCTAAAAAAAAACCTCCAAATGGGACAGGGTGAACTTCTGAAGATTCCCTCTCCCTCTGTTGTTGACTGTTGGTGTGATAATTTATTTTTTATCACTGATAAAACAAACAACTATAAAACTTGCCCCAGACATGCGGAAATAATAACGAAACGACTTCAAAACGATAACGAAACGAATACATAACAAATCCGAAACAATTACGAAACGAATTTAAAAATTCGTTTCGTTTTTAAGTTGCTCCAGAATGGTTCGTTATCGCTTCGTTATAAAAAAAATAACGAATTTTTAACGAATTACGAATTAATGAAACGAAACCGCCCAGCCCTAGTGTACCACTAGATGAAGTCTGCAGGGCGGCAACCTAGGCAACTCCATTGACATTTGTTGCCCATTACAAGTTGGACATCTTCTCCAAGTGGCACACTTCCTTTGGAAGAGCTGTCCTGTTCTCAGCGGTGGCATGACGCCCCAGTGAATCTGTCGCTGCACGGCGGAGGAACTGGTGCTACTGCCCCACCTGTGTCCTATATGTACTATAGTGAGGATGGGTGGGGCCAGAGCCTTAAAGGTATAGAGAGCTTGTTATAGGATCTGAACTGCTAAGCATGTGCGAGAATTTTGGAAAATCGCTGCGTAACCATTCACCTGGCCCAAAATGTCAAGATTAGAGTGGGGTTCATGGAAAAAACCATCCAAGACCATCTTCCCATGCATACGGTATCTGCTCTATGGTTCTCCCGGCTGCTCACACCTTTCCAGAAGCAGGAATGAGTCAAATGCTCTCAGGCTCTCTTGACAATGGTGTGCTATGGAAATCAGGAGGACTTTTCCAACAGACTGATCACACAGGAGGAAAGTTGGGTCCACCACTCTGATCCGAAGACTCAAGTCCAGTCGATGCCATGGAAGCATTAGGACTCTCTGCCTCCAAAGAAGGCACATCCCCAACTCTTGGCAGGCAAGGTCACACTCACAGTATTTTGGCACCAGCACGGAGGAGGATGGATGGGTTTCCTAGCAAAGGGGACCAGGATCACTGGGGCTGACTAGGCTTCACTGCTTTGGAAATTGCGGGAGGCCATCCAAACCAAGTGACAATGTGGCATGCTCACCAAAGGGGTCCTCCTTCTGCAAAACAGTGCACCCGTTCTCAACTCAGATGTTGCCCAAATGGAAGAAGCACTCTCCTCTGGCTTTGACATTCTTCCACATCCCCCTTCTTCACCTGACCTCGCATCAGACTTCCACATCTTTCCAACCATGCAGTTATTTTGGAAGGGCAAGCATTTCTCAGATGGTGAGAATCTGATTTCCGAAGTCATAACGAGGCTTTTGGAGCAACCTGTCAGCTTCCACAAGCAAGGTGTTGACAATGGCTTCAAAAGATGGGAGACATGTATGTCCCGAGGTGGCACCCATGGAGAGAAGGACTGGGCCAAGTTTTATTGTTCTCCGTCCACAGGAAGTGGGCCAAGGGAAAATGTTCTCGTAGGCATTTTCTAGGTCCTCCCAACTGAAGTCCTTCATTTCCATAGAACTGAAAGACTTTGGAAGCTAAACAGTACTTATTGACACAAAGCTTTACTCACATCATCCAGACTCCGGCTGCTACGTTGAGCGGGTGGATGGTGACACACATCCAGAGCCCAGAAAAGGCACAGGCTGGAAGAAATAATAATAATTATTATTGTTAGATGTATTTATACTCTGCTTTATTTCCCCAAAGGGGACTCAAAGTGGCTAATAACAACCACAGCAACAACAACAACGTTTTTTTCTTCCATACTGGTTTTCAGTCACCTACATCAATAACAATAACAAAAACAACAACAAGAAAAATGTTTGTTTTCTTCCATACTGTCTTTTGGTCACCTACATCATCATCAACAACAACAACAACAACAACAACATCAATAACAACAAGAAGAATATTTTTTCTTCCATACTGGTTTTCGGTCACCTACATCAATAACAACAGCATCAATAATAACAACAAGAGGAATATTTTTTCTTCCATACTGGCTTTTTGTCACGTACATCAATATCAACAACAACAACAGGAATATTTTCTTCTTCCATACTGGCTTTCGGTCACTTACATCAACAACAACATCAATAACAACAACAAGAATATTTTTTCTTCCATACTGGCTTTCGGTCACCTACATCAACAACATCATCATCATTGTCATCATCATCATCATCATCAACAACAACAACAACACAAGAATATTTTTTCTTCCATACTGGCTTTTGGTCACATACGTCAACAACAACAGCAACAATAACAACAACCACAAAAATATTTTTTCTTCCATACTGGCTTTCGGTCACCTACATCAACATCATCATCATCATCAACAACCACAAGAATATATTTTCTTCCATACTGGCTTTCAGTCACATAAGTCAACAACAACAGCAACAATAACAACAACCACAAGAATATTTTTTCTTCCATACTGGCTTTCAGTCACATACGTCAACAACAATAGCAACAATAACAACAAGCACAAGAATATTTTTTTCCATACTGGCTTTCAGTCACCTAGATGAATAACACCACCAACAACGACAACATAATCACAACAACAAGAATATTTTATCTTCCATACTGGCTTTCAGTAACCTACATCATCATCATCAACAACAACATAAATAACAAGAACAAGAATTTTTTTTCTTCCATACTGACTTACATTATCATCATCACTTACATCATCATCATCCACAAAACAACGTTTCTGCTTCTACACCGGATTTTGGTCACCTGCATCAATAATAATAATAATAAATAATAATAATAATAATAATATTAATAATCTGAAGGGAAAAAAATCAGCATCTAATTTTAGAAAGCCAGAGGTGCAGGGCTGGTGCCGAAACGTTGGCAACTGTCATTCATCCTGCTCCAAAAATACCCTGCAGAGCCCTTTGGGATTTGTAGTAACTGTGATGAACATTAGGTCACAGATGGGAGCCTTTCCTCCCCAAAGTCATTAAAGTTTCAGCGAGGCATCCATTGCTCGTAGCGTTTGCTAGTCGGTAGGTAACGTAATCCCGGCATTATTGGCTCGAGGGATGGGCTGATCCGGCTGCTGAGTTGACGAGAATGCCATAAGGAAGGAGGGAAAAAAAACTCACTATGTATCTATCACCAATAAAGCCAATCATATCAGTCTGTAATGATGTGTTGCTCTTTTCGGTGCCTCTAAAATACTTGTTGTTGTTGTTGTTGTTTCTTCTCCTCTTAAACCAGACTCAAAGCCCCCCGTGAGACTTAAAAGCCCAATGCTTATCTAAAGCCTTTCTATGGGGAGAAGGGACTTGGATATAGGTTATAGAGATATGGGCTATAGGATATAGGAGTATAGGGATATGGGACATAGGCAGGGCCATACCCAAAAAAATGAGGGGTACCCCCCACCCCCCACTTTGGCTACGGCCCTGGACATGGGGATAACATGGTATAGGCATATAGGAATATAGGTGCATAGGGATACAAGATATAGGAATATATATATATATATATATATATATATATATATATATATATATCTATATAGTATAGGGATATATGACACAGGGAGATAGAGTATAGGGATATAGAGATACAGGGTTATAGAAATAGGGCTATAGGGATACTGTATAGAGATATAGGGTCATAAGGATATAGAGTATAAGGGTATATGAACACAGGGATATAGGGAGGGCTATAGAGTATAAGGATATAGAGGTATATAGGGATATAGAGTATGTGTGTGTGTATGTATATATATAGATATATTTGTACTGTAAATAAATAAATGTTATATAGAGATATAGGGTTATAAAGTGTGTGTGTGTGTGTGTGTGTATGTATTTATATGTGTATATATGTGTATGTATATATATATAAGGATATATATATATGTAGGGATATATGATACAGGACTATAGGTAGAGATACAGGGCTGGTCCATGAGGTCACAAAGAGTCGGAAATGACTGAACAACAGAACAACATAGGGTTATAGGGTTATAGAGTATATGTGTATGTGTGTGTGTATATATATATACATGTATATTAGTACTGTAAACAAACAAACAAATATTATATAGTGATATAGAGATATAGGAATATAGGGTTATAAAGTATATATATGTGTGTGTGTGTGTGTGTGTATATATATATATGGATATATGATACTGGGATATAGAGTATGGGAATATATGATACAGGGATATAGGTAGAGATATAGGGCTGGTCCATGAGGTCGCAAAGAGTCTGAATGAATGAACAACAACAACATAGGGTTATAGGGATATAGAGTATATGTGTGTGTATGTGTGAGTGTGTATGTACATATGTGTACATACCATATATATATATATATGGATATATTAGTACTGTAAACAAACAAACAAACAAATATTATATAGTGATATAGAAATATAGGAATATAGAGTTATAAAGTATAGGTATGTGTGTGTGTGTGTGTGTATATATATATATATGATACAGGGATATACAGTTATAGGGATATAGAGGTAGGGCTATACAACCCTATAGGTTGTATAGAGATATAGGGTTATATAGGGTTATAAAGTATAGGGATATATGATAAAGGGATATAGGGTAAAGGGATATAGTGATTAAGGGTATAAGAATATAGGATCAAGGGCTATAGGGGAAGCCCAACTCACAGATGCCTCCAATGACCCCTGCCAGCCTGCAAAGCCACTTGTACCACCAGGTCATGCCATCTTCATCGGGGGCCTCCTGGGGGGCCTCAGGGCTTGCCTCCCCTGCAGGCTGCTGCTGCTGCTCCTCTTGGGGGCCCATCCTTCCTTTTGGACCCAAACTGCCCAAGGTGCTAGTCCTCAAGGCATAGCCCAGGCCTCCTTGCAATCCAGCTGGCAGCCTCTTCGCTTTGCCAGTCTATTGCAATGGAAATAGAGAGAGCCACGCCCCCTTTGGAGCCACTCCTCCCCCCCTGTTTTTTTGCATTGCATCTTGGGATGTCTACCTGTTTGGTCAAGGGAGGGGGGCAAGGGTCCCTTTCTGTGCACCTTTGGACTGGAAGCAGGGCTGCTATTAATGGTGTGGCCAGCAGAGGGCGCTGTGGCCATAGAAAACAATAGCCAGGAAGGTAAACATTAGCAAAGACTTCAGAGCCAAGGATGAATATATGTAGTCTCTACATTGTTTCCCCCCACTTGGACTGTTGTAGCTCAATGCTATTTATTATTATTATTATTATTATTATTATTATTATTATTATTATTATTATTATTATCATCACCATCATCATCATCATCATCATTATTTTACTGATGCAAAACCATTATTATTTTAATTATTATTAATAATTAATAACTATAAGTTAATATTAATTATTATAAATATTATTTTATTAATTATTAATACATAAAATTAAAATAATAATTATATTAATTATCATTAACAATAAATTAATATTAAATAATAAATAACAATAAATCAATATTAATATTATTATAAATATTATTACTTTTATTAATACTAATTAAAAGTATTATAATGATTATATTAATTATCATTCACAATCAATAACCATTATTTAATATTAGTATTATTGTAAATATTATTATTTTATTAATTATTAACAATTAAAATTTGTTATTATTGTATTAATTATCATTAATAATTAACAACTATTAGTCAATATTAATATTATTATAAATATTATTATTTTTATTAATAATAAGTAAATTATAATTATTACGTTAAATATCATTAACACATAACAACTATTATTTAATATTAATATTATTGTAAATATTATTATTTTATTAATTATTAACAATTAAAATTATTATATTAATTATCATTATTATTTTTTTCTCGTGTCAGGAGCGACCTGAGAAACTGCAAGTCGCTTCTGGTGTGAGAGAATTGGCCGTCTGCAAGGACATTGCCCAGGGGACGCCCAGATGATTTGATGTTTTGTCATCCTTGTGGGAGGCTTCTCTCATGTCCCCACATGAGGAGCTGGAGCTGACAGAGGGAGCTCATCCGCCTCTAACCTTGTTTATTTAATATAATAATATTAATATTATTATAAATATTATTTTATTAGTTATAAATAATAATAATAATTATCATTACAAATGAATAACTATTAGTTAATATTAAAATAATATAATAAATAATTTAATTACAAATAATAGTATTAATAATGATATCTACCTTGATCATTGAGTCTATATACCATAAGCTTCATGCACGTCCATAGCATTGAGCCCTGCCAGGTAAATAGACTCTATGCTATGGAAGTGCATGAAGCTTATGGTATATAGACTCAATGATCAAGGAATATTGGGGAAGGATGGATATTTTGCTCCCCGATCCCAGCTTTTCTTTGTCCAAACTCCACTATTTTTTAAAAAATATTATATTTTGTTTAAGGAGTGCTGCTTGAATAGAGATGAATCTCAATAGTCAGTGGACCAAACCGGTTGTCTGGCCAACAATGTTCAGCTGAATGACACGACCGCGGAGCCAAAAGGATGAAATTAACCAGAGCCGTGACTTATGGTCTCCGAGGGAGAAAGGAGAAAGAAAGGCAGCGCAAAGGAATGCTTGGAGCGCAGGCGTGATGTCATCCTCCCCGTCCTTCCTTCGAATACACACACACGCATACATATATGCACACATTGTCCAACATTTCCAGGACATGCGAAATCAGAGGGCCAAACAGTGACCTCTCCATGGCTCAATGCTACGGGACCCTGGGAGCTGTCGGTCCCCAAGGTCTTCCACCAAAACCCCCATGTTGTAGGGGCTTTGCCAAAACTACAACTCCCAGGATGCCTCAACAACCGTTGGTCCTCCAGGTGTTCGTGCCATCCCAAACTATAACTCCCAGGATCCCACAACCTAACCATTGATCCTAAAACCAATAATTTATCTACCAAGTGCTGGGGACTTGCCAAACTACAACTCCCAGGATGCCTAAACCCGATAGTTTATCCTCCGGGTGTTAGTGCCTTGCCAAACGACAACTCCCAGGATCCCAAAACCTAATCCATTATCCATCAAGTTGTTGGGGACTTGCCAAACTACAGCTCCCAGGATCCCTAAACTTAACCATTTATCCTCTAGGTGTTAGTAGCTTGAAAACTACAATTTCCAGGATACCTAAATCTAGCCATTTACCCTCCAGGTGTTAGTGCCTTGCGAAACTATAACTCCCAGGGTCCCAAAACCTAACCATTGATCCAACAAGTGTTGGCGCCTTGCCCAAACTACAACTCCCAGGATGCCTCAACCTAACCATTGATCCTCCAGGTTTTAGTGCCTTGCCAAACGACAACTCCCAGGATCCCTAAACCTAATCCGTTATCCATCAAGTTGCTGGGATCTTGCCAAACTACAACTCCCAGGATCCCTAAACTTAACCGTTGACTCTACAGGTGTTAGTATCTTGAAAACTACAATTTCCAGGATACCAAAATCTAGCCATTTACCCCCCAGGTGTTAGTGCCTTGCCAAACTACAACTCCCAGGATCCCTAAACCAAACCGCTGACCCTCCAGGTGTTAGTGCCCTGCCAAACTACAACTCTCAGGATCCCTAAACATAATTGGTTATCCAACAAGTTGCTGGGGCCTTGCCAAACGACAACTCCCAAAATTCCTAAACTTAACAGTTTATCCTCCAGGTGTTAGTACCTTGAAAACTATAATTTCCAGGATGCCTAAACCTAACCATTTATCTTCCAGGTGTTAGTGCCTTGCCAAACTTAAACTCTCAGGATGCCTGAACACAATAATTTATCCACCAAGTGCTGGGTCCTTGAAAACTACAACTCCCAGGATCGCTAAACCCAATCGGTAATCCACCAAGTTGCTGGGACTTTGCCAAACTACAACTCCCAGGGTGCATAAGCCAAGATGCCCCCATCATTGGGGCGTACTGATGCTGTTGAACTGAATGCATTTTCACACCACTATCCTGGGAGTTGTAGTTTTCCAAGACAAGCAAGTCAAAAGAACTCGTTGAACTACAACTGCCGGTGATCGCAGATGACCGAACCATAGCGGTTCAAGTGGCGTCAAACTGTATTACCCTCCAGGGTGGATGCACCCTTCAGCAGAGAAGGTGAAAGACCTTGGGGAAACTACAACTCCTAGGATGCCATATCTTTGGGCCACGGCAGTTCAATCCGCATTCATTCCACAGTGCACATGCTCCATTCTGACATATATTAGAAGGGCAGAATACAAAGAGAGAGAGAGAAAGAGAAAGATGTCAACCGCATAATTGCATCTGGCATGGATCTATAAAGCCCTCCCGTTCCAAGAACAACAAGGGGGAATGTTAAACAAACGGCGGGCCTCGCATTTTCAGCTGGAACAGAGTCTCCCCGCTTCCCCTCTTTTCCTGCGGCAGGTCCATTACATGGGTTTCTGTTGTCTGTATTTATGATATGTCTGAAAAATGTCAGAGCTTTATCGCCTCTCGCGAAGAAAACCGAGGAGAGAAAAACTGGATCCTGATATCGGAGCGAGGAGAAAGGAACACAGCACCATGCCTTATCCACATGCTAGTTAGGGAATCCTTGGAGTTGTAGTTTTACAAGTGTTTGTAGACCTTAGGGAGATCAAGAGGGGGGTGTCAGGAAGACCATCAGAAAACACAGTATTTTCTGTTGCTCATTGGGGGTTCTGTGTGGGAACTTTGGCCTAATTCTATCGTTGGTGGGGTTCAGAATGCTCTCTGAACTATAAATCCCAACAACTACAACTCCCAAATATCAAGGTATGTTTTCCTCCAAACTCCACTAGTGTTCACATTTGGGCATATTGAGTATCTGTGCCAAGTTTGGTCCAGATCCATCATCGTATGAGTCCACAGTGATCTCTGGATGTTGGTGAACTACTACTCCCAAAACTCAAGGTCAATGCCCACCAAAATATTCCAGTATTTTCTGTATATCAGGGAGATCTGTAGGCCATGTTTGGTTCAATTCCATCACTGGTGGAGTTCAGAATGCTCTTTGATTGTAGGTGAACTACAGCTGCAACTACAGCTCTCAAATGTCAAGGTTTATTTTCCTCAAACTCCATCAGTGTTCACATTTGGGTATATTGAGTATTCAGTATGTCCCAAGTTCAGTCCAGGTTCATCATTGTTTGAGTCCACAGTGCTCTCTGAATGTAGGTGAACTATAACTCCCAAAACACAAGATCAATGCCCACCAAACCCTTCCAGCATTTTCTGTTGATCAGGGAGATCTGTAGGCCATGTTTGGTTCAATTCCATCACTGGTGGAGTTCAGAATGCTCTTTGATTGTAGGTGAACTATAAATCCCAGCAACCAGAACTCCCAAATGTCAAGGTCTATTTTCCCCAAAATCCACCAGTGTTCACATATGGGTGTATTGAGTATTTGTGCCAAGTTTGGTCCAGATCCATTGTTGTATGAGTCCACAAGTGCTCTCCGGATGTAGGTGAACTACAACTCCCAAAACCCAATGCCCACCAAACCCTTCCAGTATTTTTTGTTGATTATGGGAGTTCTGTGTGCCAAGTTTGGTTCAGTTTGGTTTCCTCTTTGTGATGCCCATTGTTCCCTAGTCATTTTGTTTGGTTTCTTGTTTTGAGATGCCGCATTTTGCTTTTGCCGAATCCGACTGGGAAGGGGAGGATGTTCTCCCTGGCAAATGTATCCCATTGGAAAAGGAACGCTTTGCGGCCCATTCGTTGGGTTTGTGTGGCTGTAATCCTTATGCAATTATAGATGTGTGTGTTTTGAAAAGGTAATGAAACCGCCGGGACAGAGAACATGAGCGTTTACGTTGGCCGCGGAATTGATCTTGGCCGCCGCTTGCACAGACAAGCATTTTTGGCATTCTTGGGAGATGAAGCACCGAAATGTCCAGCTGCTTCAAGGTCTTGTAGTCCTTT